TAAAGTTATAATTATCATAGAGTTTAGCGTCGCCGCAGTATATTTCCGACAGTTTCATGACTGACAGAGCTCTTTTGGCTATAATAGTTGTGTGCTGCCAGGCAAAAATTCAGCAGTTGAGATCTTCCCAGTCAATGCTGGGGTGGGGCTTTGCCTGTTGGGTATCTGCCTCACCTGCTACCGTGAAAGGTACAGTAGGCTGTTCTGTCTAAGGAGACAGGAAAACGAATGTGTGTCTTTAAGCAAATACAGGGTGTAATGAGTAATCACAACCATATGCCCCTATTTTTTTTTTAGGGTAATCTGCCTCCCCCCTTGAATGCTGGCACCCCCAGCACTGGAAATCAAGTACGCGGCCCATGAAATATAAATAGTTGGTTTTTTAAAAGAAGAAGAAGCAGCAGCAGCAACATTGTTGGATCAAAATATCACAAAAACAATGGATAATTTCTGCCCTATGTTTTGCTTCCTCTGAACTCATACCAAAAGATGTCTGCACAATTTCTACTAGACCTCTAGGATCTATTATCACATTTGGTCAATAGATAAATTAGCCTTGTTCCACAGACCATTGATTTTTCTCCTCTGAGGCAATAGCAGTCCCATTGCAAAGGGAGGGTAGCATATGTTTAATTGTTTTAATATAGAATAATATATTTGTAAATTTGTCACTTGATAGCCTTTTGAAAACTTTTATTACATTCAGTATAAACTAGAAAACTGTCCATTTGAAGGAATATTTTTTAAAAGAAATTCATGGTTTCATAGGTCAGACTACCAGCAACTGTTTCGGGGGGGGGGGGGGGGGTGTAATGGATCTCATTCATCTGCCCAAAGATGAACGCAGCCTGGAGTTAACACTGATAAGCTAATGAATGTTAAAATGTGGCATGGGATCTCATTGCTTTTTTCCGGGCTTCATCGTCCTAGAAATCAAATCAAATAGATGATGAGCAAATTAATTTCCTGTTTTTTCTCCATGAGGGGATAAGGAAGTTGCATTATGCTGGGAAGTCATTTTGTTTGAAGTCCATTTGGCCAGCGTTGTGCTGTTAAGAAACATGATGCAAAACAAACAAAGCCTCCAGATACATGGCAAAACCCTTAATGGAGTTTGAAGCTAAAATTAAACACATTCACATACATTTCCAAATCTAGATGTTGAGTGGGAGCATATATACAATCTAGTTTTTGTTGTGCATAAATGTAATGATATATACATTTTCAGAATCAGGGTCTAATTATGAAATTGTTAATTACAAGGGTGAGCTCAATTAGAGCAAGTATGGCTGTTCATTTATTTTAAAAAAACAATGGGAGGGTCACAGCCAGGGTTCCCTCTAAGCTGAGTTAGTGTGAGCTAGCTCACAGTTTTTTAGCCTCCAGCTCACACATTTTTGTCTTAGCTCAGGAAGGATGGCTCCAGAGCAAACTAATGTATGCAGCAGCCAAATCGCTCCCTCACAACTTTAATGCCAGTAGCCCACAAAGTAGAATTTTTGCTCACAAGACTCCACAGCTTAGAGGGAGCATTGGTCACAGCTAGTGTGAATGTACATAACACTACATCTGAAGATGTGCTGTGTTCCTAACCACTCCTTCATTGAAAGGACTTGTGCCCCTTAGAAATATGGAAGATTACCAGTGCTAACTGGAAAGCATGCTTTGAACTGGTCCTGTAGCTTCATTTGAACAGGTTTAATCTGCAGCAATTAGTAGGTAATAAGTCATTAGCTCCATGCTATGTAAAACTTATGATTTCTGCTGCTCAGACCTCAGTTAAAATATTTGTAGGAGTGGTTAAGTGGTTAAGACGCTGAACTGCAGGCTGTGGAAGGTCAGTAGTTCAGCAGTTCAAGACCTGAGTTGCCACATGACGGAGTGAGCTCCCGTCTCTAGTCCCAGCTCCTGCCAACCTAGCAGTTCGAAAGCAAGAAATTGCAAGTAGATAAATAGGTACCGCTTTGGTGGGAAGGTAACAGCGTTCCGTGTGCCTCGGCGTCTATTCATGCCGGCCATATGACCACGGAAATGTCTTCGGACAGCGCTGGCTCTTCGGCTTTGAAACGGAGATGAGCACCGCAACCCTAGAGCCGGACTCGACTGGCTTTCGAGCAAGGGAACCTTTACCTTTACCTTTAAGAGGCCAAGCACCACCCCCTTTTTCCTGCCCTGTTGTTAACTCTAATTCCAGTGTGAGAAGATCCATTTTCAAAGCCTTGCTAGTATTTTGCTATTGGTTCCCCCCAAAAAAAATTTTCTTCTTTCAAATTCAGGCCTACGTGAATGCCCATGTGGAACAAACAACATCAGAGTTTTCAGCCATTGTCACTGATACAGCACAGTGACAACAGAGTTTCCACATGATGGGTTTTCCTCATGTTTTATGCCCCAGTCCCCCACAGCAGTCATTCCTGGCCCCCTCCCTCATTATGCTATCAGAGTATTTTTCTTTTTTAAAAAATAAATCTGTAATTGTCATATTGATGGAATGTTAGACCAATAGGACAATTACTGGTCTTTTTTTAGAAAATGAAAAAACCCACCAGTAGGGGGAATGGCTGCTGTGGCGGACTAGGTCATGAAAAAGATGCTTATATGGGTGGTACTGGGATAAATCCAGACTTTCCCATCCACATGGCAGCAACTCCAGTTTTGCTGCCATCTTTCCAAAATGTTGTACTAAAGTGTGTTTTGGATACACCAAAACTCTATAAGAAAGTGGGGAGGGAAACGTTTCCAGTGGCATTCAAGCCATGGTAAACAATCTCTGTGGAAAACCCACTAGTCACATTTGATACACAAATCTGTCTGTGTGCTCCCATTGCCAAATTGGAAACACACAGTCAGAGTCCAACGAGTTAGATGAATATCTGTTTAGTGCATTGAAACAGGGAATACAGTGCATTGGTACCTTTGAGACTGCATTGTAATTATTCAACTCATAAGAACATAAGAGACGCCAATGTTGGATCAGGCCAAAGGCCCATCCAGTCCAACACTGTCACACAGTGGCCAAAAATACCAGGTGCCATCAGGAGGCCCACCAGTGGGGCCAGGACATTAGAAGCCCTCCCACTGTTGGCCCTCCCAAGCACCAAGAAGACAGAGCATCACTTGCCCCAGAGCCCCTATCTATACCTTGTGGCTAATAGCCACTGATGGACCTCTGCTCCATATGCTTATCTAATTCCCTTTTGAAGCTGTCCATGCTGGGTTCAGAGTAGGTTTCTTTAGGTGTGTATGCACCACTGCCCACTTCAAGGTAAGAGTGACCACCCTACCTTTCAGGGAGGCTTTTGCTGTGTCACAGACCCAGTCTGCCAGCCCCCCCCCCCCGCACCACAGATTTAAGCAGCGAGGAGGAGCAAGGGTTGTACAAACAAGTGGTAAGGCATAGATTGGGGTCCCCAGCGAAGTGCCCACGGGCACCGTGGTGCCTCCTGGCACCCATCAAGTGTTTTTTTTGCAAAGTGGGGACAGGTGAGACTTATGCCTGGGAAGGCTTCTGATTGGCCATTGGAGATTTGATTGACTATACACATTTTTAAAGCTATTGCTTTAGCAGCAGTTGCCACCACATCACAAGGGTATTTACTGTGTGACTGAAGTTAGCTGTGGGAGCCATATTGCGGCTGGTTCTTTCTCCAGTTGCAGCCATTTTGCAGCTGCACCTACCATGTTGTGTCAGAATTCCAAAGGTGACCTCAGGCTCAAAAAGGTTGGGGGCCACTGGCATAGATTTTCAATATGTTTATAAATCAAAGGATTTATACATGCTTAATATTTTTCCATACATGACTGGATAGGGAGTTAAAATATTTGTGATACTTCAAATTAATTATATTTTAAATGTAAAGTAAACACACCATCTGTTTGTTGCCCTGAACATATGCTATCCATCTTTGTTTTTCCAAGAGAGTACAATAAAATCTTTGGTCAGTGGCTATGAAACTCAGATTTTTGACATCACCTACTGTGTGGTGTTTTTAACTGGAGATGCCAGGGATTGAACCTGGGACCTTCTGCATGCAAAGCAAAGGCACTTTTTTTGGCTGTAAACAATCTTGTATAGATAGAATTGCCTTTTAATCTTTAGCGCTAAATTAAGGGGATATACTTCTGAGTTTAATTTCTACTGAATCACTGTAAAATGCACATATTTTAATTGACATTATTAGAATCTCTTTTGCCCTCAAATCTGTATGTGCTGAAAAATGGTTTTCTGGTACTTACAGTATTAACAGAAAGCACTGCAAAGTAATGAAATCAAAAGTTTCTGTTTTAATATTAGAAGAATTTCCAATAAGTACAGTGAGAAATGAGGAAAGGCATTCCAGACAAAATGCAAAAGCCATTTTAAAATAGCACTGAATAACGGTATCAATAAAGAGCCATAGTCTTATGTTTTATGGATAATTTTTATGCTGTTTATGTTTTTAATGGCTTTTTGTTGCATTGTTTTAATTGTAAGTTGCTTTGAGCAGGACTCTGAAGAGGTAGCATGGAAATATTCTAAATACATTAATAACTAAGATTCATTTACAGTAAGGAAAATTTGTTCCAGTCAGCGCTAATTGGCAGAGGTAAGTTTCTGCCAGTGGCTATTGTTTCCATTCATGGAGCTAAAACTGATTTTAAGAAGTGTATATGAGTTTTCGCAGAATTTTCCTAAAACAGTTGACTTGGAGAAGCAAAACAAAACACCAAACTAAAGCATGCAATTTGTGCTTCCCTTTAAGTTACTCTTTGTGGTTTTGATGAGGAATAACTGGGTCTCTTCAGCTGAGCTGAGCATGTATTTTCAGTGCTAAACGGACTGATTTTCTGAGAAGCACTGTTGTTTTTGCAGTTCCTGCAAATTGTTGGGATTGAAACTCTTCAGTTCTGTTTCTGGCTTGCATGTTTGACTTACACCAATTGATAGGTAACCAGGAAAGATTAAATGCCTGAACTGTTACACTGCTATACATCTTTTATTTCTGAAGTTAATTCAAGACATGTACGCCCTGGTCCAGATGATAATTTTTGGTGAGCATGGTACATATTGACAAGTAATTCTCACCGTGTTTCCCTGGTATTCTTTCCAATGGTGGTCCAGTCCCAAACTGAAAAGGGTGGCAGACAATCCTGTTTTGATGTGTGCTTTGAGCAAAAGCAGTCAGTGCCCAGAAGTGATTTGTTCTGTGTGGAGGGACAAGTGAAAGACTTTGGTTTACGGATGAGGGAATAAGGCTACCTGTCTAAAGCACATCGATTAGAAAGTCCCATTGAACTCAGTGGGGCTCCTTCCAATTAAACAAACTTTCAAGGGTGCAATCCCATACTTTATATACTGGTCTGAAAATGAATAAAGTGTGATGTATATCTGCAGGGGAGGAAAGAAATGTACTTTGATGTATATCTTTTATCTGATATTTGTTGTTGTTCAGTCGCACAGTCGAGTATAAAATGAATGCCTACTCATTTCCATTGAAAAGTACTTTGTGCCCAAAATGCTTAGTGCTATTTTTTTTAATCTGCTGTCCAAGACCCAAGGTAAAAGCACACACCTAACATTTTGATCACTTTCCCACCATTAATTTCAGACTAAATTTAGTGTGTCCAACTCTAGTGGGAGCGCAACTATTGAACAATAATCATTTTGCATGGATATCCAGAGTGCTAACTGCATTGTGTTTTATCTCCTGAAGCCCTTTGGTTTTGACGTCCAGTGCCTTGGAGATGGCTATATAAACGGCATTGCTATTATTAATCAGTAAAAGTATAGTTGCCCTGACCTGGAGGGCCCAGTCTTGCCCAGTCTCATCAAATCTCAGAAGTTAAGCAGGATCATCCCTGGTTAGTATTTAAATGGGAGACCACCAAGGGATTCCAGGGTCACTACACAGAGGCAGGCAGTGGCAAACCACCTTGGTTCATCTCTTCCCTTCAAAACCCGATGAGGGCACCATAAGTCAGCTGCGACTAGAACTGTAATTACTTAGAGTGATTATGATCCTCTTTCCTACGCAGAATGTCCTTCTTCCTCTTGGATTTCATTTGGAAGTAGCTGCTATGCCTTTCTTGAAGCACAGCTGGAGAGCATGGATGATGCCAGAGAGTTCTGCAAAGGTAATGCAACTGGTCCGTCTTCCGTTAACGCTGCCCCTTTCTGGTTCACTCCTGAGATGTTGCAGACTTTTTGTGATGTGTTAAGAAGGGCTGGGTTACTTTCACATCTTAATTACAGTTCGTAATTATGACAGTTATATGATAGTGATTATAGATATAAGTGCATTGTTAGGGTTGACAGCTTCAGGGGGTGGCCAGAGATCTCCCAGAATTACAGCTCATCTCCAGACAACAGAGATCAGTTCCCCTGGAGAAAATGGCTGCTTTGGAAGGTGGACTGTTTGGTGTAGTGGTTAAGTGCGCGGACTCTAACCTGGGAGAACCGGGTTTGATTCCCCACTCCTCCACCTGCAGCTGCTGGATGACCTTGGGGAAGCCATAGTTCTGTCAAAGCTGTCCTTGAAAGAGCAGTTCTCTCAGAGCTCTCTCAGCCCCACCTACCCCACAGGGTGCCTGTTGTGGGGAGGGGAAGGGAAAGGAAGAAGAAGAGAAGAGATTGGATTTATACCCCGCCCTTCACTACCCAAAGGTGTCTCAGAGCGACTTACAAACTCCTTTCCCCCTCCCCACAACAGACACCCTGTGAGGTAGGTGCGGCTGAGAGAGCTCTGACAGAAACTGCCCCTTTTCAAGACGTTTTCAAGGAGTTTGTAAGCCACTCTGAGAAGTGAAGGGCGGGGTATAAATCCAATCTCCTCCTCCTCTTCTCTTCTGTAGGACATTATACTCTGCTGAGGTTTCTCCCTTCCCCAGACCCCACCTTCCCTCCAGATATTTCCCAAACCAGAGCTGGCAAGCCCAGACCGCATTATGCTGATCAGGAAGGTAGATGGTTAGGAGCAGTATTTACTTTTTGTTTGAAGCTTCAAGATATGATGTGATTCAGTTTAGCCTACTCTGTCTTCCTGATAATATACAAGACCACTGCAAAACTTTTTGGTTAAACTGGTTTTAGCAAGCCGAGGAACCTCTCAGCATGCTCCAGGGACACCCCCTTCAAAAACAAAACAAAACACACAACGAAAACATGTTGCAGAAGATTTTTTGGCATGTTCTAGAATCAGTTCATTTGGACCATTATTGGAGCTCACTGTTGCCTCACATGAACAGAGAATTGAACTTAAAAAAACACTGAGCACTCTTCCACCGCTGCAGAATGTGGGGTAGGATTGGAAGTGAACAGGCAAGCTGGTTTTCAGGCAAGCTTCTCTCCCCACTGCTGATTTTGGCTCATCAGGAAACCTTCAAGGAACCCCAGGGTTCTCCACAACACAGTTTGTAAACCACTGCTCTAGCCCAATTATAAGTTGTCCAAATGTTCTCTGAAAAGCTTTATTGCTGTTCTGCTGTGCAGTTAGAAATGAGGCCCACTAACTGTGTAGCTCTCACAGTCGCTACGGATATCTGCTCGTCCCAGTGGGACGTACTTCTAAGTGAATGTGTTTAGTATCTTTTATACCTAGGCTGCACGCCTGTGGCTGGTTATGTGTGTATAATTCCCCCAGAAAGCAGCAGGATTTAACTGTGCATAACTAACTACAAGATGATGCCTCTGTGGCAACTAGTGTGCATAAGCATAGTTTGATGGCAGTGAACACATACGAAGTATAGTGCCTGCACAAGCTCTGTTTGGGTTCAGTTTTTTAAAAACTAATATTTGACAACAGTGCTGGAATTTGATGGGTTTTGTCTTTTGTCTTCCCTTTGCAGCCAGCAGAGCCGATATGATTAGCATCAATAATAAAGAGGAAAATACTTTTATCTTGAAAGCCTTCCAGACCCATTGGCATGGTCCTGAATATATTTCATTGGGCATGTTTTTTGATACTGATGGTAAGTGACTCGTATTCTGGTACAGGTACGGGCTGGGCCTCAAGTCTAAATTCTGTTGAGAATGCGTCTCCATTAGGAACGACTTCCTCATGGAAAGATGCCCTCTGTCTCTCTGAGTCTTTTCAAGCTTTCCAGATGTATCGAAAACAAGACAAAAACAGGCCTTTCATTCGTGACTGCTCACCTTTTCCCTGGGCATAGGTACCTGTAAGGTCCACAAGGAGGAGAATCTTTGAGAAGCAAAAAAAGGAATAAAGAACAACCTTCTGTATTAGACTGATCAGAGGGGAAGGGGTGAAGGAAATGGGATAACAGCCTGTTGCCAGAAAAATCTAGATTGGGGTCTCCAACAGGTTGCTCATGAGCTATTGATAGCTTGCTGGCTGCTGCAGAGTACCTCATGCATCCCCTAGATTAGAAGATCCACAAAATGATTGCAATAAAATATGCTCTTGGCTTTTCTTTTCTTTTCTTTTTTTAAAAGGAAGTTTTTATTTCATAGTATTTTTTTCTGCGTGCTGTTTAGTGGATAGGTTTCATTTTTATTCTTCTGCTTATTCCGTGTTTTCTTTCGAGGACTCAGCAAAACTTGGTAGACGTATGGGGGTGGAGACGGCATAGTTCAAGATATTTTGCATTACTGAGAAGTCATTAGAGAAAAGGCCGGTGACTCGATCTAGATCATACCGAGTGGCCTCACACTGGACCAGGATATGGATCTATCTAGATCAGCATTGTCTGCTATGACTGGCAGTAGCTTTCAAGGTTTCTGATGTCTTTCCAAGTTCTGCTACTTGACCTCAGGGCCTTCTGCATGCAAATCATATGTTCTGCCACTGAAGTGTGGAGTACTTTCAGCAGGACCCGGACCTATTTCCAAATACAGGTTCAAAATTAGCTCTTACAGTCTCCTGTAAGGATAAGTCCCAGTGGTGGTTGAAGGGCAAATATAAGAACCTTTATGAAGCAGTGCACCCAACAGTCTGGTCACTGTGTGGATAAGAGACCTCCTGGGAATCCTGTGGAAGCTGCCTTGAGGTCTGTGATGGAAGAAAGCAAGAACAAATACCACACATATGCTGTTCTGGTGGGACATGACAATTGTGCCATTAGTTTATTAGAGCGCCAGATCTACCACTTGATTATTCAGGGCAACAGGAGCATGGTTTGCATGGCTTTGCTGCACCCAGCTAGTTGCAGAATGATGTTTGAGTTGCCAAGTCGTTAAAATGGATATTTAGATTGGACTGTCTTTTGAGAACAAAAGGACGTGATTTTTTTTTAAAAAAAACATAGTTTTTATCCAACTTGTTATTGCAGATGATGTTTTCAAATGGTATGATGAATCTAAAGTGAATTTTACAAACTGGATGGAGGAAGAAAGTAGCAATGAGCTCCTGGACACCTGTGCTACAATGCAGACTACATCAGGCGGATGGAAAAAAACAAGCTGTGAACATCTCCCACTAACTGAGGTCCTTTGTGAAGCCACCTGTACGTAAGAGTTGTGCCTGCCTGGTGCTAAGAGTGACTAGATTTCATAGATAGTCGAAGTGGTTACATGCAAATGCTCTGGAAGCAATTAACCATTGGGCTGCTGTGGATATGGTGTTCTTTAAGGCTTCTCTCCAAAAATATATGTGGAGTGAATTTTGTATCTAATAGCCATGAAGGGTCCCTCCCCCCTCCACACACCAGGGCTCCCTCTAAGTTGTAGAGTCTTGTGAGCAAAAATTCTACTTCGTGAGCTACTGGCATTAAAGATGTGAGCAAGTGATTTGGCTACTGCATAAATTAGTTTGCTCTGGATCCTTCCTGAGCTAAGACAAAAATATGTGAGCTGGAAGCTAAAAAACTGTGAGCTAGCTCACACTAACTCAGCTTAGAGGGAACACTGCCACCCACCCACCCACAACAGAGATCAAAAATATGCACAACTGGGCCAACATCACCTGAGAGTGCAGAAGAGAGAACACAGTGGGAAAAGGAAGAAAAGGAAATGGCAAGACCAGGTAGGAGATGGAGGAACTAGGCAAAGAGGTAGCAGGGAGATGGGTGGAGCGGAAATGGATACACAGACAAGCAGGGAGGAGGAGAAGGGAGCCCAGTGGCAGCTGAAGGTTGGAGACGATGACAAGGGGAGGGAGACAGGAAAATGAGCCAGCAGCAAGAGGCAAGACGGAGGAACGAAGGGAAGAGGAAGTACAGTTTTCCCTCCCTTGTGGCCCCCTTTTATGTATTCTCTAGTTCTCTTTAGTATTTCAGTTCAAATAATGTGCATTGAAAGTTAATGAGATACAGAGATAAACGAAACCACACTCTGCAATCAAAACATAATCTAATTCATCTAGTTTATCATTCAGGTAAGTGGCAGGCATTTCCGAGAATAAACAGTGACATATTTCATGCTGAGAGCCGTGAACAGGATCCAGCAAGCCACAAAATAGCCAGAGTCTTACAAACCTCTGTTTTTGTACTTTCGTTCCGACAGAGAGCATGCCACTATCAGGAATATATTTGCAACCTTACTTCACTGTTTCTGATAAGATAATTAGTTATGGAAAGCCAGTGGGGTTGCAAAGATGGCTGGTTAGAATGTAAGGACGCAACTTCGTTTCTTAAGGTCCATAAATTTCTTAACCGGACCGATCGTTATAAAGTAATAAATGATTCTGCTCACATTCTGCTGCATGCAATTAATTCTTATTGATTTCAGCTTCTTGAACAGAGAAGAGCTCTGAGAGGCACACAGGACTTCTGCATGCACAAAAACTTCCCAGCTCCTTCAGTGCAGACTGATAGTATGTGCAGAGCTGGGGTCTGTTGAGATTCATGGGAAATCCTGCTCATACAAGAGCTCCGTGTATTTATAAGAGTCTGCAGAGTGGTGAGCTCTGTGTTCAGGATTTACTATTAGCATTGCATCTATATATCTAATAGCGAAAGGCGCCCCCTGCGTGTGGATACCTAAATCCGTGCATCGGGGGCACCTGGGGGGGAGGGAGATTTTTGTGCACACTTGGGGCAGTCCCCAGGTGTGCACAAAAATCTAAAAAACTTTTAAAAATATCGGGGGGATACTTAAATCCCCCCAAAAGTGACAGAAGGGGACGCTCTGCAAACTCCCTTGTCGCCACCGCTTGGGGGGGGGAGAGCAGCAAGGCCCGAGCGGCTCACTTCGGAGCCGGGGGGGAGAGCCGCGAGGCCCGAGCGGCTCGCTTTGAGGCCAGGGGGGGAGGAACCGGCGGAATGGTGGGGAACTTACCTCCTCCTGCTGCTTCCTCCTCTGCCTCCTGTGTGGAGGTCCCCCCCGCAAGTATCGCGGGTCCCGCCCCTTGTCCCTTTTTAATCAATTACAGAAATCAACAGTGTGTTTTAGTAACTAAAATAATATAAATGATAAAGAATGACAGAGATGTCTTTGAGGAAAGTCTTTGAAAAGGATGGTGTTTTATTCCTGTAATTACACCAGCATTACAATATGTTAAGTCCGTACTTAACAAAATAGCCAGAGAGTGATTTCAGCAAAACTCAGGTTTATTTCAGCTCGACGATCAACTTCTCTGACACGGTACAACTTCTCTGATAGCCCGAACAGCTTCCCATTGCAGCTGCTCGGTATTTAAACATTCCCGACAATATGTCTACAAAAGACAGCGTGCCACAAAACAATGTGCTACACAGAACCCACATCAAATAATAGCCACCTGGGTCAAGAGACTGCGGTGGGGAGAGGAAAGGGGGTGAAATTGCCCTCAACTCTCTTCTATCAGCACAGCTCTGCTAACAGAAGAATGAGCAATTTTGTCCCCTCCCCTCTCCCCATGGCAGCCGCCCTATCAGAGCAGCTATTACTCCATGCAGATCCCACAACCCCCCAAAGGAACTTTCCCATCGTTGGGAAGGACTGCTGGGGGAAGGGGACACGGGAAGAATTTGCAGAGGTCACCTCCTCCTGCTGACAACTAATTGCATCCCAACCTGATATCTGTTTGATCTTTTATAATGTTAAATATGGATACACATTCATGTTGTCTTTATTTTCTTTTTTCATGTGTGTTCCTAGCTGCGTATGACAAGAAATATTTACCAGGTGAGTGCGCTCTGCCTTTTCCTTTCAGGCTGAATCTGCCCATCATGAGATACCGAACCATCATCACTCCATGGCAGTTGTTCACTCCTGTATTTTCCTGTGCGGATAACCAGTCCAGTTGTGAACGATTTCTATAACACAGTGATAGGACAATATTTGGGTTTTTTTCATTGTCTTCATAACTGTTCATGGTTGAGCTTCAAGAGGACAGTGTTTTCTTCAGGTCACTGAGATTAGGTTTCTCTTGAATGATGGCTACAAGAAAACAGCCACCATTGTCTTGCAATTCAGTGCTGTGAATCTACACCTGAATCCTAAGCAACTTCATTCAGAAGCCCCACATGGCAGTGAGAATTAGTTCTATGTAAATGTGCTCAGTGTCACAGCTCTTAACTGTCACAAAGAGACCTCCTGCTAGATCCTTTCCTATGTCTCACAGGATACCAAAGCATACATGCAGCCTACCAGTTATGAATGGTAAACGCAGTTTAGTATGTGCCTTGGGGGCCCACTGCTTCCACAGTGGCTCTTTCTGTTAACATTGAGAAGGCCTGCTATTTGAAAGTTCAGTGCCAGGCACAGTTTACAGGCTGCATGTGTATTTGGGCACGCATACCCAATTCAAAAAGCAGCATGAACTGGTTCTTGGGCCTTGACCAGATGGAAGTTGTAGCCTCCGCTTAAATTCCAGGCATAATTTCATTCACACAATGGCTCTAAAGTTAATATGTCAATAGTAGCTGTAAAAAAATAATAAATTGTTGGACCGACAACTTTTTGCATAAAACCAGACATGTTCACTCATGTTAGTAAAGGTAAAGGTTCCCTTGCTCGAAAGCCAGTTGAGTCCGACTCTAGGGTTGCGGTGCTCATCTCCGTTTCAAAGCCGAAGAGCCAGCGCTGTCTGAAGACGTTTCCGTGGTCATGTGGCCGGCATGACTAAACACCAAGTCGCACGGAACGCTGTTACCTTCCCACTGAAGTGGTACCTATTTATCTACTTGCAATTTCTTGCTTTCAAACTGCTAGGTTGGCAGGAGCTGGAACTAGAGATGGGAGCTCACTCCGTCATGCAGCACACTCTGGTCTCGAACTACTGAACTACCGACCTTCCGCAGCCTGCAGTTCAGCGTCTTAACCACTTGAGCCACCGCAGCTCCTCACTCATGTTACTCACTATGTATTATCTCTCTTTAGATATGCCACTGGGCCTATTTGATGGGCTTTGGTGGGTAACGTAGGCCAGTTTCTCTAATATTAGTTTATCGGAAGTCAGTAGCAGCCCATGAATTTGCTGCAGCTGGACAGCCCTTTTCTGGACAGAAATATTGTCCTGGTTTGGTGCTGGGTTTTTTCCAGCAATCAAGTCACGTCTGACGTATGGGCGACTCCTGGTGGGGTTCTCAAGGCAAGAGACATCCAGAAGTGGTTTGCCATTTGCCTGCCTGTCCCTTGGTGGTCTCCCATCCAAATACTGACCAAGGCTGGCCCTTTGGGTAGTGAAGGGCGGGGTACAAATCCAATATTTTATTTATTTATTTATTTCCAATTTATACCCCACCTTGCCGGTAAAATCGCTTCTCCTCTTCTGCTGCTTAGCAGCCAAGATCTGACGAGCTCAGTCCAGCCTGGGCTATCCAGACCAGGGCATTGTTAGCACAGGATCAGAAAGGGGCACAGTTAGAAAGGAATCCTGATTCAGATACACACGTCAGGATTGGAGACTGCTTTGTAAAGAACTTACCGCTTCTTGCCCAGGGTGCTAGTACAAGATAATGTGGAGGAAACGCAATAAAATAAAAGCGCCATAAAATGTTATTGGTCTCACCATGCTTTCTGATCTGGCACATCAGGAACAGTTTCCCACCCTCGGAAATACCCACTTTGTGGGAAATTGGTAAAAAGTTAACAACTCAGCTGTTCAGCAGTGTGGCCACTAAGCTGCACCTTGGTCTTCCCACAGTAGCCTGTAGAGTGGAAAAGGCTGTCAAATGTTAATAAAAGTAAAGCTACGAGGAAGAAAGATCCAGTGACTGCTGATGTTATATAGCTTGCCTGACGGGAGATACTAAACGTGCTTTTAAACTGTAACAGAACAATGCCCAGAGGGGACAATCCCTGTACCTCTTTGACAGAATAACTCTCTTGTTTCAGATAAAACCTGGACAACAGTCTTAGTAATAACTTCAACAGTCATTGTATCAGTCTCTGCAGCGTTTCTCTGGTTCCTGTACCAAAGGAAGGTTTCTTCTGCTACATTTATGACACAGAATTTCTCCAGGCAAGTACCATGTCATGATGAACTGATTCTCATAGACGAGGAAAACGAATATACGGCCTAAACTGCATTAATTTATAAAGACATAACTACGTAAAGGAACAACAGGATTATCCTGAGGGCAAACCTACGAGGAAATCTAAAGGAGTGGACAATATTAGTCCAAGCACCTTCTGTATGCAATGAGATAGTTTGAAATGTGCAATTGTTTTCATGAAATGAGTTGTACTTTCTCACAGGAAGCCATTCCCTGCATATAAAAGGGCTGTTGCATAAATGGTATGCAATTATACTGGGGGACTGACCATGCAGTGGGGGGAGCTAAAGCGGATACACCAGTCCCATTGATATATTGATACACGCGTACACACTCAAGCAGAAACATGCAAGATTCACTGGGGTGGGGTGGGGGGAGAATCCCCTCCTTCTTCCCCTTTGCTAGCCCACCCTCAGCTCCCTCAGTACTAATACCTGCCCTCCGCTTGCAGTCCTGTACCTCTCCTCACAGGCAGATTCATGGGGAGGGGGGTTCCTGCTCACTTGCCTGCTGCCCTGCCTGCCTATCTGCCCCCCCCTCCCCACCGCTCTTTCTACTCCGCCCACTCAAGTGTCCTTCACACACCGGGACCCCTTCCTGCCATTCTGCTTCCCTTTTCCCCCCCCTCCCCACCGCTCTTTCTACTCCACCCACTCAAGCGTCCTTCACACACCAGAACCCCTTCCTGCCATTCTGCTTCCCTTCTCACTGCTGCCTGCCACTGCTGTGTCTGCTGGGCTCCTTGCCGTTCCCCTTCACACTTCTGCCCACCCGTTTCCCAGCATTGCCACTGTCCATCACACTGCCCCACACACACCCCACTTCCTCTGAAGTGCTTAAACCTGGCTGGTTCACGTTCAATCCAGCAAAGTACAGAAGTCCAGTTGGATCTGCCCTGATTTCGAGAGTGGGGGAGAGATCTCTTCCACATACCAAAGGTGTGTGAATAGCGATTCTTCGTTACGAGTTACTGTGCTAATCTTACTTCAGAGACAAGTTACACACATGAAAGGAGAGGTGTTCTAGTTCAAATATTGCAGCCAGTATCACAGCAACAAATGGACTGGGGGAAAGAAGGACAAGTAAACGGAGGTTATTTGTTATTGCATTGTCTTTTAATGTTTGATTAGAACCACCCACAAGAGCCAGTGGGCTTGTTCTTTCCGTATCAGTTTGCATCACCTGGGTTGAACCCCAAAGCTGTCACAAGCAACGTGGTGCCTGGACAAAGATGCCCAAGCAGCTGCCCTTGCACAGGCATCTGGTCCTCTTGCAATGCTGTCAACAGTCTCTGAAACAGTGTGGCGTTCTGATATTAAAACCTGTGGGCTACGTCTTGTTACTGAAGTCTTTGTGTACTCTGCAGATATGTATCCAATGAACTTTGTAATTGAATGTCAATTATGTCTGTATTAAGACAGATAGGATAAAGCCATAATTATGGACTCTGCAATTTCCATCTGTATTTTTATAAACATTTTAATACTTTTAATATTGTTAAATAAAGCTTTGTCTTCTATGAGGTCTAGTAATTTTGAGAACACAACAGAACAGTAGCAGCACATAGTTGGATTCGGAAAAACAACTGAAACAGGCCTTTCTGAGAACTGTTTACTGGCTTACAGTAAATTTGTGTTTTGTGTTTGTGTGTAGATAAAATAGCAGTTCTTCAAATGGCACCTTGAGTATGCTAAGCATTTGTTTAGTGGGCAGGATTGTAAATGAAAATATTAACTGCAACCAGAATATAAATAGTTGGTCAGACTAATTAGCAGTCTTCTGAATGCTTCAGGGCAGATTTTGTAGCCTTCTATCAGGGCCCAGACATAATTTTACTTTCTGTAGGTGGGTTCCACAGAAACCTCTAAAACCATCTGATCCTCCACAACCTTCTATGTATTTTAAAGCCTGTGAAGTGCTAGAGGCAGAAACACAAGTTGAATAAGACCACTCATTAAGTTCAGAACCTTTTCCCTTAAGTTACTTCTGTGCCGTACTTTAAGCACCCTTTTGTGCACACAGTCATGATTGCAAAAAGGGGAGTTTTGACTAACAGTCCCATTGAAGTCTCACTATTCTCAGGTGCAACATATACCATCAACGGCCCCCTCTGGTTACAACCATGATCCTAGTTCATTTAGTAAGACAGCAAACTAACAGTGTTGTCCTAAGACCACTTTCTTGGGAGAAGGTACTGCTGAATAGACTGTGTAGGATTCTGAGCAGACCCGTTTGGGATGGCTCATGTAAGTCGTGGCTCGTATAACTAGCCGTATGCACTTAGAAAAGCAATGCAGTATTGAACAAACGGGTCTGATGGTTCTTCAAGATTTAATATTACAAACTGAGTTATTAGAAGCAGTTCTTATATAGAGCTTGTGCAGTGTAGTAGTGTTAGGCTAGGACAGGGGGAGGCCATGCTCAAATCTCTAGGCACACAGGAAGCTCACCGGGTAACCTTGGGCCAATCACTCTGAGTCTAACTTACCTCCCAGTGTAGGTAGGGGGGGGGGAGAGAGACAAGCCTTCTTGGAACCAGGGCATAAAAATGCATGTGAGCTTTATGTAATGAAAGGGGTTTTTTTAATACCCCACTTTTATCTACCTTACGGAGTCTCAAAGCGGCTTCCCCTCCCCTCCCCACAAGCAGGCACCTTGTGAAGTAGGTGGGGCTGAGAAAGTTCTGAGAACTGGGACGGGCTCAGGGGGTCACCCGGCCAAATGCAAGATATTTTCTTGCGGCACCACACACTTTTCAAAATGGGTTACTGGATTCTGCACACGCTTCAGGACTGTTCCATGGGTGGCAACTTTTTGTAGCACTGGAGAGGCTGCTCTGCAAGCTCTCCCAAGGAATGTAATGGCCACCAAGGACCCCCCTTCCTAGACGCGGGGCCATCTGCCCTGACTTCATCTTGGCTAAATTCACCACGGCAGCCATTTTATGAGCCAGCAATGCCTCACTCTGGACAAGGTGGAGGACATGGCTGCCCTTCAGGCTGCTCTGACGAGTGACCAAAGGCTTGAGTGGGAGACTGATTCACTGATGGGACTTCTGCAGGCCTGCTTGTCACTGCAGGGGCTCACAAAGCTGGGCACCCACCTCAGTCTACCAATATAACTTCAGCAGCAAATGCAAGTCCTCCTGAGTGCAAAATGTGGGCTTGCTTGCTTTTACTAACCTTGCCTTAAAGTCTCCTGCCAACCTGCCCCAAGCATAGGTGAGGACTCTGCCCTGCCAGCACTCTTGCCCACTCAGGATATTCCCCTGCCTTGAAGCAATCACCTTTTGTTGCCCTTCTGGGAAGCACCCCCAACTCAGAGGTCAGAACAGGAAACCCATAGAGACTCATCCTAGACTCACTTCTGATTCCTGTACGTTACAACCATGTCTTTGAGTTTCCTTTGTGCTGGCTCCTGTAACTTCTTGCTGCTCCACCAGCCAAAAGGTGGCAGTGGTGGTTTCTTCTTATCTCTTCACACAGAGGCTGTTTTTCTTTCTCCGGGAGTCTGAGATGTTTCCTCACCACACAGGAGAATCCCTCCACTGCATGACCCTTCTGATTATTTCCTTGTGACCTTTGGAAGCTCCGCCTACAATCTCTTGATCATCAAAAACAGACAATGTAACCTACCCAGCTCAGCAGTCTGCGGATAGGTAAACACTTCCGTTCATTCCCATCTTAAAAACTTCTTTAAAATCCCTGTCCCCTACTTCTTCTCATGGCTGTTTGCCAGTGCAGAATTCTCACTCTGCCAGCAGCTTGGCTTTCTTTTGTTCCTCTCATCTAACTCTTCATATGCACCATCCTGAACACAACAATTTCACTGTTCTACTTGAGTACTTTTTCAATTCTGGTACCCTTGTATTTCCCTCAGTAACTTCTAATCTTTCTTTTGGAAAAGATCTGGTTGTTTCATGGTTGCTGGTAGCGCAACTGAAGGGCTTTAAGCTTGCATGCCCGCTATCCAAGTGAAGATTCCTAAACCACAATTTCTGTTCCCCCTAATTGGCAAGTGTATTAGTCTTCCAAGGCAGCCAGGCTGCGGAAGCCGGAAGAGCTTTCTCCCTGTCACTGAGGTTAAACTTCCCCAAATTGGCTGGAGTTCTGGGTGAGTGTCCTGAACCCAAGTCAGAAAATACACATTTGTTTAAGGATGCACATGAAAGGGAGCATATATGGTAACAAGAAACTGAAAAAAGCAGTATAAAGAAACTGGTCGCTTTAAGCAGTTTCTTCTTGAAATCAAACAATGGTTCAGGCTGAAGCCTAGAAAAGATGGAAGTTTATTTCTCTGAAAACTTGGGTCAAGCTGCTCATATGTTCAAAGACTCAGATATTGGAGATGGGAAGTAATGCTCCCTCTAAGCTGTGGAGTCTTGTGAGCAAAAATTCTACTTTGTGAGCTACTGGCATTAAAGTTGTGAGCAAGCAATTTGGCTACTGCATAAATTAGTTTGCTCTGGAGCCATCCTTCCTGAGCTAAGACAAAAATGTATGAGCCGGAGGCTAAAAAACTGTGAGCTAGCTCACACTAACTCAGGGTTAGAGGGAACACCGGAAGTAACCCAGATGCCATTAGGCCTGGCAGTTTCAAGGGTACAAGAATCTAGGAGGGTACATTCCATCATTAGCTCCCAAACTCATGGGTGGGAGAAGGTGTTTGTTTAATTGGACCCAATGCAGCTGCAAGGCATCTGGCCTAATTGGCAAACCCACCTGATAGGTCAAATCACCTGCTGGGTCAAAGTTATATCATTTGCTATACATTTGATTAGTTAACCAGAAATCAGGCCAAAAAAGGTACTTGAGCATATAAGATTTTTTATTCTAGTTTTGCCCTGTGTCTGGATTACATCTGACCATGAGACACTTCTTGATTCTGGGTGAGTCATACTGATCAGAAACTTTGTCTTGGACTTTAGAACACTACTGGACTCTGTTTTATGGGTAACATCCAGATCTTGAACCAAAGCTTGTAAATGTTCTTAGTTTAGACTTACGGTTTTATTATTTCTACCCTCACTATTCCCTGCTGTTGATTATTCCTGCAGTTTTGTAATAAAACACATATTTTGTGGAGTTCTTGAGTTCAGGCGGCTTCAATTTTAATCCAATACTTTAGCCCTCATTGGCTACAGGTACCAGATTGTTTTGTGAAGCTCACCTTCTAAGCACCCTATCTTGCAAGGGTGACTTTCTTGATTTTAGGCCCAGGAGGGCTGGAAGCGTTGTCCCTTGGTCTCTGGCTGTCTGGGTAGCAAGAAAGGGGCTGGCGGCAGTGCTAACCAGGGGTGTGAAGACTCACTTCAGCCTTTTTGGTTTTGTCGTTTGACCCGCACCCCTTCGGAGGATCCGGCTTTTATGGTCCCTTGATAAACAGTACTACATTTCCTCTGGATCTTTTTGCAGCACACAGTACTGGTATTTGTATGGACTACCTGCACATACAGAAAATTAAGAGTCACTGCTCTGCAGTGGTTTTAATCTCACCCTGCAGGACACTTTTTAAAGTGTGCCAGGGAGATTTCTACTCGTCCCTCTGGGAACCATGCTTCAGAAGTGAACAGAGCTCCATCTAGTCGCCCATAAACATTCTAGCTGTTGAAGTCCAGAGTTTTGGAACTCGCTGACCTTTCTCTTTTTTGTAACAGATGTGGCAGGATCCTTTGATTGACTTGGTGGCTAACTGAATACAGCCTAAACCACAAACTGACAGGGTAGACTGGGTCTTAACACTTCAGACTGCACTCTTTAATGATCTGTTTGTACTTTACCTTTCACAAACTAGTAAAGAAGGGAGCATTCACTAACACACTCAGTTTTATATAGGAAAGCATTAAAAACAGCACTTTTTACCTGCTGGTTGAAATGTACAATCTGCTTTTCCATCTCATTTTGCTCCTTGTGTAACCTGAAGTTCTCAAAATCATTTCTAGCTGCTGATGGTACATGTACCTTCTTGTTTTGGCTATGAGGCCTGCTATTTTATAAACAATCACTGTGAAGCTGGATGTTTGCTCGAGAGGGAGTACATTCCCAGACCAGACACTGCTTCTGTATGTATTTGTAAGAAACGTATCATGTGTCATCTAGCTGACTTCAACTTGACTACTATAAGGGTGGGGTTACACTTTGGTAAGCTCCCTGTGGTCTAGCTCACTGCCACTGAACTTTGTCTGTGGCTGAGTACAGAGCTCCTAGATACTTTTTTGTTCTTGCTGTTGGCTAGTAGATTGTTAACGGTGACTTGTAAAGCCTAAAATTACCTGGATGCTTCAGGAAGTTATGTGTGAACCACGTACATACATAATACTAAGATCAGCTGGAAAGACACCTTCGGGGTACAGCATCATCTGTGGTGAGGCTACCCTCTTCTGGAAACAGATCTTTTTCAACTGGTGAAACAGGACGTCGGTATGCATGAGGAACCTTCAGTGCATTTAACTCTCACGTGCCTTTCTTTTTTACAGTACAATCATGCTGTACTTTAGTTCATCAAAATAAACAAATGGCGGAAAATAGGCCTGTGTCTTAGGTGTAACTGCCAAAAGTATTCCAATTTGGAGGTATCAGACAGTATTTTGTTAGTAGTCTCTGAACATTAAAACGTGATGCTTTTTTTAAAAAAGGGTTTCACGACCAGATGTTCTGGGGCTTAGCCCACACACCATGATACACACACACACACCCGCCCAAGTGATTCTCATATGCAGACATGTCTTTAGTTCTGCCATGGTCAATGCTGGTGCCCATTTGCACAGTACATCCACAATATTTTTAATAAGACAGACAAATAATTTGCATTATGTTTTATTTACCAAACAAATGACAACACTAGAAAACACGTTCATAACCAGTGCTTCAGCAGTGAATGTGGGTTCTAGAAAAGGTTCATTAAGATAAATAGCTCGGTTAAGATTTTAAACCATTACGTTGTATTCCTGCCAGGAATGCTGAAATGCAAGTGTTTTACACAGCTGTAATTCCTCGCTGGAACATCTACATAATATCAAATATAATCCGCAGTTTTGAAATCATCAGTACTTATAAAAAGCCATCATTTAACACTTATTAGTAGCCCCTTGCAAGTTTATTGCTTTGAGTTAAACGTTCCTCACGGAAAATATAGAAACTTAATATTAAACTCCACAGAACCCATTCATTCCCTGCATTCATCCTATGGTGTAAACACTGGAAGCAAAAACAACAAGACTTCCCCCAAAGGTGTTTTCAAAATGGAAAGCTAAAACAGAAGTATCCCCCCCCCCCTGACTTGCAGATGTACTTAACATTACCACTTAGTGCCAGTAGAAGAGCAAATGTGAGAAACATTTTTCCAGAAGTGTAACTGATTACTGTAAGAAGTTTATACAAAAGGAAATCATGTTTCTTACCACATAAAAAATCTGGTCTTTTAGAAGAAGGCATACAATAATCTCAGTGGAGAAACCACTCCCACCAACGGACCGAATGCTCAGGTCCCCATGCTTCCAGTGTGCAACAGCAGGTTTCTGAACTCAGCAATGCTTTAGAAATCTCTTAACAGTAGTCGGTGTGCCTTACTAAAGAAATGCATACTGATGGGTGCCGAGGGTCCGTTGCCCGTCCAAGCGTCTGGCGGCGTTTACGCAGCATCAAGTGTAGCGAGATCACCATCCTCAGAATCATCGTCTGAAGCTGCTGGAAGTACAGGAGACAAGTCAGAACCATCTCTGGTCAAATCCATGATGCACACAATCGTTTCATAATCTGAATATTAATGTATTTAACAAAACAAAAGGACACACAATCTCAAACGATGGATTTAAGCACCAAAATGGGAGTGTTTCCAACTTGGGAAGCGAGAACTTAGTTCTCCTATAGCCCAAATTTTATGTCTGGCGGACAGGCAGGCAGCCACACATCTTGGCTCAAGACAAGCTGACCTTTAATGAGCAGGCAGGGAAATGGCAATGAGGGGTATTCGCTGGTTGTTTTTTTAATGGAATACGCATACTACAATCAGACATTTTCTAAATGTCTTGTCAAACTGGATGGTTTTGTTAATTGGATATTTCATGTCTTCCCAACATCAATTCTAAACATACACAGACTGTTTGGAAGAGGCTACATATTTGCCATCTGACACAATCTTTTTTTTTTTTTAATCTTGACTGTTTTAGCCTGGATTTACTCTCGCAAGTCTATACCCATATAAGAACCACGTCCCCAGACAGGGCCACCCAGAGGGTTTAAGGGTCCTTGGACAGGTGGGTGCTGTGGGTCTGCCAATACACCTATCAAAAGCAAAAATAATTCATTCAATCTGTCCTCGACATATGCTGGTTAACCCCGTAAACAACCCACTTCAGCTCTCATTAGCACTAATACCATTCAGGTACTCCTATGTATACTATTCACTTCGTGGTGGAGGGGGACAGGTCCTATTATGTCACAATTATATGCAGAGATTCAGTGTCACCTTACACTCTAATATACAATTTCCTCTTTTAAATGAAAACTTTAAGAAAAGGACTCTGGTGAGCCATGTGGCAGGGCTGGGGTCAACAGTACGGTTGGGTGCAGAGGTGGGGTGGGCAGGCTGGGGGCAGACTGCCCCGGTTGTTGTCATCCCCCCCACCACCACCCTGCAGCTGAGTCCACAGGTTCGTATGCAGCAACTAGAATTCCTATATGTCTGTGTGATTTGGGCTGTATTTTTATAATCAGATTCCTGAACAATGAGCCATGTACAGCAGCAGCACGCCCTGACTTGGGATAGCCAAGGCTAGCTTGATCTTGTCAGATCTCGGAAGCTAAGCAGGGTTGGCCCTGGTCAGTATTTGGATGAGAGACCTCCAAGGAATACCAGGGTTGTGACACAGTGGGCAGGCAATGGCAAGCCACCTCTGAACATCTCTTGCCTTCAGAACCCTACAGGTCGCTATAAGTCAGCTGTGACATGATGTCCGGGGGGAAAAGCAGCAGCACAGACTTCCTCATCAGAAGTAGACTGTTAAATACGTAATGCAGTTAAACACATCTGAGTGTTTACTGGTAATCTATGTATGCTTCTAAGGCAAGCGTTTGGATCTTCCTAGAAAACCCAAATCTCTAAGTGGAAAGAAATGCTGCAAATTAAATAATACAATTATAACTTGACTTGCTGAATAAATGGTTAAATTTTTTAATCTATGTATGCTTCTAAGGCAAGCGTAGAAAACCCAAATCCCTAAGTGGAAAGAAATGCTGCAAATCAAATAATACAATTATAACTTGACTTGCTCAATAAATGGTTAAATTTTTAAAACCATGGCTGGAGAAAGGATAACAAACAAGGAAAGAAAAAGAATGGAAAACTGTTGGAGACTAACAAGGGCAGGGATGTTCTTCCACTGAGAAATAAAGACAGTAAGGAAGTAAGCACCCTTAATTCCCTTCAGGGAGGCAGCGGGTCAATCTTTGCAATATTCCTTTCTATTCCCTGCCTACTCATTTGCCCCCCCCCCATCACTGGAGGGCAAATTTGCCCCTATGAGCTTGCTAAAACAACCCTGCTTTTGGGCTCTGCTTTGATCAGAATGGGAACAAGACAGAGCAGTTTGGACTACCTTGACAATGGTTGTTGGTATCTAGGAGTGCTGGGAGGTCTA